GTTTCCCATAAGAGACGAAGTAAGATACATGAAGGTGAAAAGCTCCCTTTACAACTTCAATAATGTTCATTAGGAATATACAATACAGTAGTTTTGAGGACAAATTAAAAACACAACTAAATGTGATTTTTGTTAAGAATAATTGACAATATTACTAATGATTTAAAAACCATAATGTTAAAAACCATAATGACACGCATGGTTGTACACATCTATAAACCTCGACAATCAGAAAGCAACTGCAAGAGGGTGAAGGGTCAGGGGTGTAGTTACACAGACAGATCTTGTCTGAAGAGGACAGCAGGAAAGAGGAGGAGAGTGAGAGGTGCAGGCCTGGATGTGTGGGGAGAGTCAATGAGTCTTCATGAAACTTAACCAACAAGTCGCCTCTCTAACCCATGTGAAGAATCTATTAACCTTTCTAAAAGGCACACAAACAAACGTACTTTGTAGTTTCCTTCTTATCCAAGTAACTTCCATCTATTTATTTTTTTTAAAATCAGGATTTCTAACTAAATCATTGCAGTCCTTTGTTTGGTGGCCACAACTTGTAACTGAATATCAACTGGTTTTGAAAATTGTCTGTGTCTACTAAAGTCTATAAAACTGCACTTGAAAATTACCAGGAAATTATTCAATTGTCAAAATACAGAAAAAATACCAGTAGTACACTTTCCTGAATGGCACAACTTAAGAAACCACATTCATAAAGGAGGTCAGGTAGAATTAAATAGGAAAAAATACTAAATTTGATGATTTATCACTGTATACATAAAATATGGAAAATGAAAATCAAAGATAATATACATGATTACTTTAAAACAAATCACAATGATTTAACATTCTATCTTATGCCAATTATAAAATACAAGATGATGAATGAAAATTATGCAATATTTTCAGTTTCCAAGCAAATACTAACCGTTCTGAGTTCTCTTTAAACAAACTGGCTAGTAAGCCAAATTTACCATAGATTTCTGGCTAAGTAAACCCAGCCTATGTCTTATAGATAATTGAGGGTAATTTCTATATTTGAATTATACCTTAAAAGTTGAAACAAAACCCTTCATTAACTCAGAAAATACATGTATATACTTATGAGATCCTCTGAATTTTTGTAGAAAGTCATTTTATTTCTTAAAAAAGGTATTTTAAAATATAGTAATAGTTTTCAAACGTTCACCTTCTATTTATTTCATAGGTCACTTATATCATCTAATAAAATAATTAAAATCATGAAAGCAGCTGGTACTACAGCTAAAGCGATTAATGTAGTAGTCTAAATTCATATGTGCTGGCAATGGCTTACTTCTTTTGGCATGGAGAAGAAGGTCAGCTGCCCTTGAGAAGAGGTATTGGGTAGAGACAGAATATCTCTTTTACAATATGACACCATGCTACAGAGCCTGTTAGGCATCTTCTCAGAACTTATCCCCTCCCATAATCTGCAAGATTTTCTTTTAATGGTTACATAAGAAATAAAGAAATGTCAGTATCTGACAGAAGATTAACATTGGTCTTTAAAAAGTATAAAATGTGATCTATAAAATCAATAATGTCTTCTTAATTTTTAGAAAATTTCAATTTTAAATGGTTAGGAGATATATAATAAAATTCTAACCAAAATTTCTAAAACGAGGCATTGCATAATAATCTTACTGGTGTTTTAGGAGCTAATTATAACTATAATCTATCTCAATCACCAAGGGAAGACTACATGAAGATACAAATGCCAAATAAAACTTGGCTATTTTTAAAGCATTTAGATAAGCATTTAGGCACATAAAGCCTATACTTGGTGTCCCCTGATTTTTAAATTTCAAAACTTTATTTGTTCAAGTTCCACATATTAATTTGTGATATTAACAGTGCAACAGCTTGCCCTCTTCTTTAACATTTGTAGAATTAATTACACAGAGGTAACGGGAAACACTCTGTCTCAGAGACTGAGTGGCAACATTCCTTTTAAAGTGGGAATAAGAGAACAAGCCTTTAATCTCAGTGTTCTGGAGATACAGGCAGGTGGTTCACTGAGTATTCAAGGTCAGCCTAATCCACATAGAGAGTTGAAACACATCCAGGACTACATAGAAGGCCCAGCCTCAAATAAGACAACAACAACAACAACAAAAATAGAAGTATGTTCAATTATACAACCAATACCTATAGCTTGATGACAACAGAGTTGACAGTGACACTGCTGGAACAGAAGAGCAGCTGACCATTTGACACTTGTCATGTCAGTTACATTTCCCGCACTTAACAGTGTGCACAGAGGAGAAGGTCGGCTCAGTGTCGCCGAGGCGTCTACAGTCATTATTTCATCCAGTATACAGTATTTAGATATGTTTTTAAAGTAACAAATCCCACAAACTATGAACTCTCGAAACTTGGCAATTTAATTTTATAATAATACAATAACATAAAGGAGACTGGAACCAGTCCTGCTATGACAGGCCTGGAATTTCAGCTCCATCACAGTGTCCAATGTCAGCTTAGGTAACATAACAGGACCTTGTCTCCAACACAACGTGAAATGTGTGCTGGAGATGCAACTTACTTTATTGTGCTGTGCAAGCCTTGAGTAAAAAGACAAACATAATATTAATGTGTCCATTGCAAGACTGATGACAGAAAGGGGGCAAAGCCCACTGATGAACACTAAGCCAAAGATGTCACCAACTGACAGTGGTGATCAGGAATAACAATTCCTTGGCTTCACACTACAATCGCCTACAAGCTTTCATTCATATTCATTTTCTCAGTCTTTTATATACTCATGAGAAAGAGGCATGTTAAAAGTCACATAGCCATTTTACAGCTGTACTTATCCCAGATACCAGCACGAGAATGTGCTAGGAGGAAAGTATCAATTGCCTTAACTGTACAGATTCATAGTAAGTGTGGTAAGTACATGCCTTTAACACCAGCACTAAGGAGGTTGAGGTTGGTGGGTCTCTATGAGTTCAGCACCAGCCTGGTCTACATAGTAAACTACACGCCAGCCAAGTCTCTCAAAAACAAACACATACACAATATCATAGGAACAAAAAAGATTTCTGAGTCAGTTTAGATAAGGCAAACTTGTTGTACAAAACATTGTTTTGAAAGCCTGAAGATATATATTCTTCTGGTAAACTATTTCACATTAGTGTAAAAGAGCTGTAATGATAAGAAAAAGAATTCACATTTTCAAAAGCAAATTTTAAGTCAGATTCTGCTACTACTGTAGTGTGATTCTGCAAGAATTTCTGGCTTTAGTCAGTTAAAATCAATATGAAAATATACCCTAGAGCTGTGTTTCAATGAATTCTACATTTAACCTAAATGTCAAATTCAAAAATAAGTTAATTACATTATAAGAACTATTGCCTACAGGGTAAAAAGAAATCCTAATTTCACACCTTAAGTACTATAATACCATTTAATAGCAGCATTGCCTTGCCAACTATTAAAAATCTACTTTCAGAAACTATACCAGTTGATCTTTTTACCTTGTACTTTTAAATTACAATAAATTAATGTCTTAAAATTATAATAATGATGGGCATTAATTAAAAATATTTAGTTAACAAAAGTATTCACTGTGCAATAAATTGTAACAATAGCTCTTTTTCAAAACAAAATTACCATTCAATGAAATATTTTAAACTCTGAACAAGTCAGGGACAGCATAAACATATAAAACAACTCTATCTTCAAGTTAAAATATCCTTTTTATCATGAGTTAAAATGTGAATGTACTTGTAATGCTTATCAATAAAATATACATAGATAAGAAGGAAATGACATTTCTTTGCAATATGTTTTTCATTTTATTTTATTGAATTTGTACTTTAAAAAATTGTATCATAACCATAGATTTTACAGGGATGAATGCTCCTCAGTTATATGCTAAATGTGGCATATAGTTTTCTCTTATATTCACCTTTGTTATTTATTTTGATCCACAGTGGCATGCCCAATTGGCAATTTTATCTAGTTAATATGCCACATTTCAAGCTACATATTATATTTTAAGACTAAAAGGAGGATCTGGAGAATGTAGCATATAAAGGTAATATGGGTACAATGAAAACATGGTGACAATATACAAGCTTCACAACTGTGACAAGATCCCACTACAATACTGTGGGAACAGAAGCCTTTTGTACTATCAGTGACAACTGACCAAAGAATAACTTATACTAAGCACAACTACTATGAAATGAGAATGTCAAATATTGAGATGATTCTACTATTTTAGGAATTCATAAGCAGATTGTAATACAGTATTATTCACGTCATTCCTACAAGTGCCTCCTGTATATCGGCCCTTGCTAACAGTATGCCTGTAACCTGAAGAAACAAATGACACATTTCCAATGAAGTAAATGAAGTAGGTCCACAAATAAAGACATTAAAAGATCACTGAGTATATTTGGTATCTTTCTATGGAAGCCCACTCAGTATGCAAATATATTGTCAAGTGTACAGTGCGTGTGCATGTTCCAAAGCATTGGGCCACACCGTTAGAACTAACTAAATAATTATTCATCATAATAATATATGTCAATTAAATCCTTTTTTCATTTATCTAATGGCCACTTACAATGCTTAAATATACTAGTACTGAATTTGTAAGGGGTTTCCTACAAGGAAAATTAGAATTTAAATATGTTGGTTCCATTATACAAATGTTCAAATATTATTGGAAATATTTAATCTTTCTTTTTCTTTAGGTTTCATGTAATAAAGTAGAATATTAATAAACATTTCTTACCAAAAATCTAAGTTGGAATAAAATCATTAACAAGAAAAAGATAAAATATGCATGTAAGAATTCAGAATATTATGTTTCTGTTATTGCTTAAGCTTACAGACTGTCATGTACCACAAAGTCCTTTATATATGGGATATTTTTAAGGCATGGTTATTAGTTCCTGCTATTCTACACCCAGGATGTTCTCTTGTAAACATAACTTATAACAAAAACTGTGTATTATGTAATTTTCACTTACATATATGAATTAAATGTCCCTTCAGAGTCTAAGGTAGAATTTGCTCCTCTTCCATTTTGACCTGAATCTCCTAGAGACAAGAATAGAAACACTGAAATAACAGAAATTGCAAAACTGAGTATTTCCATTAAAATGCACTGTGTTATAGCTCTATGTAGTGTCACAGTAAAGAATTTCAAAACAATAGATATATATCCTACCTTTTCCTATCTTCCCAATTATTTTTTGTACTCGGAGCTTTTAGGTTAAAAACTCATGTATAGGTCAACATACAAACCAATACCAAAACTCTTAATTTGGGTAGGAGACTGCCAAAGAAATTGCTAACTGGCAAAGTAAAGTATGATGACCTTTGTTAAATTTCTTTTATGGATCACAGAAACACGGGAGCTTATAAAGCCTTGAATTGCATGCTGATATGTATGAAGAGTGCCCTTGCACTCTTTTGTTAGAGAGCAGGTTTCCGTTGTGAGCAGTAGTGAAGTCAAAGGATAGAAGTAGAGGACAAAGCTAAAAGCTCTGCCACTATCCAGCACTCTCAAAACCAGACAGGAATAGGAAACACGCAATGGAGATGGTAAGCAAGAACACATCTTTTAAGGAACCTTCTAGTAAATCTTAACGGGACTTCCAAACTATGCTCTTTATTGGTGATGTTATATTTGAACTGTTAAAAACTCAGCAATACAAAGTTTGGAGAGAAATTTCAACAAATGATGTGTTTTCTGCAATAAAGCTGTACTTAAAAAACAAGAATATTTGTGAAATCATGTTTAGAATATATATGTATATATCAGAATCAATATTAAAGAAGAAAATAAATTTTTAAAATATTTTAAAAGGTTAGCAAGGCCCCAGTTAAAAACTTCTTAGAGACATGGTAGTTTGCTTCATTGAACACGTATTTTAAAATACTGTAATCGTGAAGCAGTACAGGATTAAATAAGTTCTTCCTCAAAGCAAATGAGTATCAGAATACAAGTAAGTATTATAGTTCCAACACAACAATGTAACTTTCAACATCATTTCATGTTTCAAAACTTAATAATTCAGTGATATATCAGTTTTCCTGAGATTTTAACAATAGACCTGGTTATATCACATAGTAATTGTAAAGATTTCAGTTTAAAAATGGGATTTAAATTTCTGTTGAGAATACTAAGGTACTTTGATTCCCTAATTATGCCACTCATTAAATGGCTCCTGAAAATGGAGATAAAATTTCTGGGGCAGCCTTGTGTTGTTTCACATACGAATGCTGATTATACCTAAGACCTGGACATCTATGACCAGAGCACTCAAATGCTAAGGAAGATACTTACTTTACTTACTGAATCTTTTAATATGGTTCTTTTTTCAAAGTATCTTTCCAAGGTGTTTCTGACTACTTATTTTAAACATAAAACATATTTCAACACTTAAAAAGGGTGACAAATTATTTTAAAAAATAAAAGGTTTATGATTATTATAGTTGTTTGTAAGTTAATTTTTTGACTACAAGGATAGCATTACACATAGAACATCTTATTACCATTAAATTTAATAGCATTATCATAATCTGAAATGATAAAATATTATCTTAATCATAAACATAAATTTCTTGTATCACATGCACTTCAACAGCTTGCAGACACTTCCTGTGTGTCACTTCACAACCAGTACAGAACAAGCATTCCTGTTACACACTGAAAATCAAATTCTTCCTCATCCTTAAAACTAAAGATTCCAATTATTGAAATAAATATCACTTATAATTCTTGTCCATTTCAGCTGGATTTTATAAAAACAAATATTAAAAAAAATCACTCAAATAAGAAAAGTTATGGGCCTTTCATTTGTTTGGTTCATTTATTTTGAGTGTCTTACTGTAAAGCTCTGATGGCCTAAAATTGGCTATGCAGAGGCGGCTCTTTCCTCGGCTAGCTATAAACACCACAACACCATGTCTAGCTCTTTTCTCAACAGCCATATTTTATTATAAGACATTGCAAACATTTTGTATATTTTCTATAGTTTGTAATTGTCACCTGAGAAAAACCCACATTAACTGTAACTTCTGAGGTGCAGAGGATTGTAATAAGTAAAGAAAAAGCAGATTTTCCTTCTCAAAAACATACCACATAAGGAGTGGAATAGTTTCACTAGAAATATCTGTAAAAATTTTCAGAATTTGTTACAGAAGGCGAAGTCAATGAAGTTTTGAAGTGAGAAAAACAGCTTTGTTCTTTCAAGCCTATAGTTGAAATTATTTATAGCAAATGTTTATGACAACATCTATTCCTTACAGTTACTAATTCGCAATTTTAGTATAGATGTTTTAGATTCTTATTTTGGAATAAATGACTTTTGAAAGTTACACACACACACACACACACACACACACACACACACACACACCAGAATTTGTAATTCTAGAAAATTGCACATACAATATGCTATGTCCTGTAGGAATTTTTATTAAGGAGAAACATTTGGAGGTGCTTACAACTGATAACCAGGAGAAATCAGACAACAGAAACTCATTCTTCATTTAAACTGTGATATGCTAAAAGCATATCTGTAGGATACTAAAACACCAAATAAAAACTACAAGCAAACGTCACTCTATTAATAATGCTAATTTGCTTTTAAATGCAGTAAAGTAAACTTATATTTTAAAAGGGAAGGAATTAAGTGAAATGGCAATATAATCTTGGAATGTATGGGTAGTGTTCCTCCAAAATAACAACAGAGGGTGCAAGAGAGTTTAATATGTTTTTAGCTGTCCTTGTAACTTGGGAATCAAGCTGTCAAACAACCAGCAATAAGTGAAACAAGACTATACAGACTGACTTCCACTCACATAGACAGAAACACACACACACACACACGCACACGCACACGCACGCACACACACACACACACAGACACCACACTTTCGCACACACAAAGGCTGTAAGTGTTCATATAACACAAATATTCCATTGTGCTTTAGGATACTAAATTTCTTTTTGTTTGAAAAGTAATTTAACAACATAAGACAACTTTTGGAATATAACTTTGATCTTAAAGGTATTTGAAAACCTAGTATACAAAGGAATTTTAACTCACCTTATATAATTTAAATATGTATATAAATTATACAAAAATATATAGTATAACATTCAATGTTATATGATAATTTACAACATATAATAGTTTATATCATTAACTGCAACTCACCAATTCTTGTGGCTACAAACGTGTGAAATTTACATATTGTTGTTTTTTTTATTATTTGGTAAGCAACTTCATAAAAAAAAGTAACACAAAATCGTTCGGCTCATCTATTGTCACTCTATGAAGCTTTCAGTACTGGGACTGAATTACATCTAACTGAGTTGTTGGCCAAAGGGGTCCCATTGAAATCCCCAACAACTCGGGTTGTCTCCAAGGGAATAGGTTGCTCTCCACAAACTGACAGCAAGGGTACACTGCTGAAAACAACACCTGTACAACTCATTGAACAAGGAGAAATTGATACGGTGTGCCCACACAGTACCTCCACTCTACATTACAGGTCTTTGATATAGGAAGGTATTCTGCACACTACCAAAGAACACTCAGATCTCCAATGTAATCCTGGAACAGTCAGCCCTGTGGGATGTCTCCATCAAGTCTCTTCACCCAGGGCTCAGGAAATCCCTCAGAACAGAAGATAGAAAAAGCAGTGTAACAGCCAGAGGAGATGGAGGACAAGAAACAAGGTTCTCTAAATCAACATGATCAAAGCTCATCTGAACTTACAGAGACTAGAGACTGAGGCAGCATGCACAGAGCTTGCAAGCATCTGCACCAGGTCCTGTGCATACACATCATGGCTGCCAGTTTAGTGTTCCTATGTGATTTTTGAGTGTGTGAACAAGTGGGTCTCTGATTCTTGTGCTGGCTCCTTGGGCTCTTTTCCTTCTCTTTGTTTTGAACAACTCCAATATAATAGTTTTCGTTTTATGTTTTATTATATTAAATTATTATCACAGAGAAGCCTGTCTTTTTCTTTTTGAGAGACAGAAAGGGAATAGATCCAGACGGGAGGTAGGAGGAACTAGGAGAAATAGAAAAAGGGAAACTATAATCAGGATAGTTTATGTGAGAAAATAATCTATTTTCAATAAGGGGGAAACATTAAACAAAAAGTAATATGGCTCAACTGAAGAAAAAAAAATGTCCTCAACTTGTGTTAGCTTAAATGATAATACAGATCCCAGTATTTTCAAGTAATAATTTCTAACACATATGCATCTAAGTTATAATGACAATAATAATATAACTGTAACTAGTGTATAGGAGAAAGGCTTTGATTCAAACTAAGAAAAACAAAATAATTAAATGTTTTTATCCACTTTTATATCCACAGAAAGCATGATTAAAAAATTATGGTTAAAGAATAGTCATGTGTTGATACACAGCATTTTAAAGCAAATTGTGAGGAGACAGTTTCATTTATCAGTATTGCACCCGCTAAGAACACTGCATCAATTTTAAAATTAAAACTAGTATCAGCCTCCATAGGAGGCTCATATGTGAAAATGTGAAGGCTGCCCATTATGTAAATATAAGAAATCCATGGATATTAAGAGTGTGAATTTTCTTTATCATCTTGAATTTATCTACATTTTAAAGATAGCAGAAGGTGTTGCTGGGTTTCCTGTGGATATGGATGGAATAGGTGTAGAAAGAACTTGCTGAGCTGGTGGGTCAACAGCCTATCACCTGAAAAACTACCTTCTGTGAACTGTACTCTGAGCAACCTTAGGACACATGACACAGGACTACATATATGAGTCCCGAGCAACAGAGTTCTACAGATGGAGAAATGAGAATACAGCTTGGACAGTGATTAACAGAATGGTCATACTGAGGCTTGAAAACATTTCCTAGATGACTTCAATGATCTACAAAATTCTCTAGAGTAATAAACTTCTACGGTCCTATACATGACTATGTCTTACTATAGGAAAAATTTATTTTACTAATAATTAACAAAAGATATTAAGTTATGGTCTTACTTTAGTAGTAATGGAACTTAGCATTGAGCTATACCAACTCTAC